AATGTTTGACGCCCTTGCTCAGTCTTCCGGCATCATCACGATTTGCGTGATTTTCAAAAAAAAAAAAAAAGTTGACATTCGGAATGGCGATGAATGCCTGCCGCGTAGGGTCATGTACGGCAACGATCCAGCAGCAAAATTGAGGGGCAAAGCATGATGATGGAAAGGCCTAGCTAGGCCTTGGGGGGAAAAGTTACGAACGATTTTGTCTCTGCGTTGCATTTCTGGCATCTATCACGTTCATCGTACAGCAGCGACAAGGAGCGCAAAGAGAGTAGCAATCGTAGCGCAGATGTTCGCGAGGGAGCGGGGCAAGAAGGAAGAAGCGCTGTTGCTCTTTTTGCTCAAAAAGTCGTCTATCCTCTTTGCCACGACGGCAGACCCTGCTACGACCACGGGCACGCCCGTTCCCGGCTGAGTCGACGCGCCGCAAAAAAACAGGTTGCGATATGTGGCATGCTGCACGCTCGGCCTGAACCATAGCACCTGCGGGTGATGGGTCAGGGATGGACATGACATTTGCGATTTGCTTCCAAAGTCAGCCAGGTCGCGCAAGCAAGCAAGTGTGTGCGTGCGTGCGTGCGCGCGCAAAAGAGACGAGACGAAGCTCACCTGCGGAATGGTATGGCTCAAACCCAAAATCGAACCTCTGAATAGATCGAATCTTTCCTGCCAATCAAAGGGATCCATGACCTGTTCCACAGCGATGAGCGATTCGATGTCGAAAGCGTCGTCCGCCGTCTTCTTTTCGAAACCTTTCGACACGCCTCCACCTCCACCTCCTGCTTCCGCTCTCCTCTCCTCGCGTCGATCTGCTAGTCGAGCATTCAAAGTAGCTATCACTTGTCTTCGCGCTCTGGCTCGAGTGACTTCGAATTCTGCACGAGAAGTCGATGCATTCAGGGGAAGGGGACCGCATGGAACCAGGACGACGAGCGTGTCTCTACCCAACGGCGCAGCAGTCGGGTCCAAGCGCGAGGGCACATTGACGTAGAAGGAAGGCTCAGAGGGCAGCTTTCCCTCTCTAAAGATCTCGTCGAAAGATTCCTTGTAAGCTTCTGCCAGGAAGATGTTGTGGCCACCCAGTTCGGGGACGATCTCCTTTAGGCCCCAATAGAAGGAGATGCTGCTGCAGGTCTGATCCTTGCGCCTCAAACGGTCGGCGTACGAGGATGGTGGTAGTAGCTTGTTGTACGTCGAGACCAGGTCCGCATTGCTCACCACCACATCCGCTTCGATCTTGCGACCGTCCGACAGCTCCACCCCGCTTGCTGTGCCCGTCACACCATCGAGTTTGATTTGCTTCACGTTCGTGTTGAAGAGGAAAGAAGCGCCTTCCTCCTTGGCGATCTGCTCAAAGGCAGCCACGACGCGCTGGAAGCCTCCTATAGGGTACCAAACGCCTGAGAGCGACAAGTGCGAAGAACACGCGCTCAGCGTGAGGACGGGGTCTGGAGTGATGGCGCAGCCCAGAGCCCTGCTGGGCCTCGCCCTCACTCACCTTTTGCGTATTCTGCGTATTGAAGAAGCGAATATGTGGCTGGCGCGTCAAAGGGTGACATTCTAATGGCGGAGATGTGCAAGGTAAGAAAGGGGCGGGCATACCACACTGCTGGCTTGTTGCTCCATTGATAGCTCACCCCATGTACATTGAGCTAAAAGTCATGGCGCGGCGAATGTGATCGCTGTGGAAGAATGAGCTGTGAATGCAAGCAAAAGCAGGAGTTTGCTTAGCGAGAGAATAGTAGGCGTTGCCCCATCCCCGTTCACAGCGTGCTCGTAATCACCTGGCTCTGGAGTACAAG